TCCCGCGGGTAATACGTATGGCCCCGTGAAAGTTATTCGCGGGTAAGTTAATATCTCGGGAACCACGGAGTCTAGGAGGCTGAAGTTTTAGGATTGTGACCCCCTTCCCACCCTCAATCTTCCCCATTCAAATTCAGCCTTCCCCTACCCGCGGGTAACAAGTACAGCCCTGTGAAAGTTTTTCACGGGTAAGTTAGTATCTCGGGAACCACGGAGTCTAGGAGGCTGAAGTTTTATCAGTTCTTAGTTGCTGGTCGCAGCGTGCTGTCTGTCACTCAGGCTACTTCCTGGCTCCCCTAGCTCTCTTCGAAATTGAGTAATTGGCCAACGCATGGGCTGCCCGTGCGAAGATGCGTTTTTTGCATTGTTCCCCGCAGTTTTTATTGTCGCTACCGGCACCAGTTTTTTCGGCAAATGCTTTCAGCTAAACAAGCTAAAACTGGCCTCAGAATTCTCAGGAAACACCTCATTAAAATCTCAGTTTTCTAGCTTTCCTGGCTCCTGAGTTAGCAACTTACTCGAAAAAAAAATTTCACAGGCTCGTACGTGGGTACCACGCATAACCGGGGGTGGATTTGAGATCATTAACATCTACGTGGACGGGGGACATTTTCTCAAAGTTACAGTTTTCTAGTTTCTCAGGTTCCCAAGTTAGCAACTTACCCGAAAAAACTCTCACGGACCCGTAGGTGGGTATCACGCGGGTAATGGCGCCCATTTTGAGGGTTGGAGTCCGTACGGGCATGCAGATTAAATTCCCAAAGTTTCAGCCCTGTAGCTTTTGTAAGTCTTGAGATGGAAAACTGTGATAGACTCACACACAGACAATCCCTCGTTAATATGCTTTTTCTGCATTGAATAGCTGCAAAAAACGCATAAAAATGGGGGAACTTTGACTTTGGACATTGCACTACGTTAGCAACATCGTCGGGGCAACTGAGCAAACTGCCCACCATGTGATGCAGACTTAGTCACAGCAGCATATTGAAAAGATTACATTTTCGACGACTCGGAACTGCGCCTTAGCTAATCGAACTGGCGGAGCATCGGGATTATTTGCGGCCTATACTTTGTAACATTTTTTACCGTGCCGTCCGCATAATGGGGTAGCTGTACTGGAGCACTGCTAACGCGGAATCCACTCACCGATCGGGCATATAGTTGATATAACATTTCCGACGAATGGATTTGGACAGAATTGTTCCGTAGCCGTACTTTACTGTTGATATTGCTGCTACTTGGGGCTATTTTTGAGTTGGTGGCCTCTGTTAGCGAGTGGGATTTTGTACTGAAAT